ATAATAGAACCACTAAGATCCCACAAAAAGTCATGCGTTATCTGCCCCTGAAACCTAGGTTGCAGCAATTGTATATGTCGTCGCATACTGCCATATACATGAGATGACTTAAGGAAAAACAGGTAGACGATGATGTGATGCGACATCCTGCAGATGGAGAGGCATAGAAAGAGTTCGATCGAACGTTCCCCGAGTTTCTCGTAAAGTTAGATTGGGACTTGCCACTGACGGATTTAATCCGTTTGGGGTTTTAAACCAACCACAGTACTTGGCCGATTTTCGTATTTCCGTATAATTTGCCACCATGGAAATGTATGAAAAAAGAATACATGATGATGACTTTATTGATAACTGAGGATCCTGGTAGGTCAATCGATGTATACTTACGGCCGTTGGTGGATGAGCTAAAAGATTTATGGACATACCGTGTGCGCATATACGATAAATGTACTGACAAGATGTTCACTTTGTGGGCTGCAGTGATGTGGACTGTGAACGATTCCTTGCATATGCAATGGTTTCTGGGTGGAGCACTAGGGGTTATATGGCATGCCCTGTATGCAAAGAAGACGTAGCATCTAGTTGCCACGCTGGAAAAGTTTGTTACCTTGGTCATCGAAGATGGTTGCCTTGGGACCACGAGTGGCAAGAGAAGGATAAAGAGTTTGACGGGGAGAAAGAGCATCGCCTTAGACCCGGAGAATGGTCCGGTGCTCAGATTTTGGAACAGCTTAACTGTTTGGATTTTGCTCATTTCGGGACCAATGTCACTAGGACAATACTTGCTACACATATGAACTAGACACACAAGTCTATGTTTTTTGAGCTCCCGTATTGGTCGAAACTAAAATTGAGGCACAACCTCAATGTTATGCATGTTGAGAAAAATATATTTGACACATTGGTCGGCACAATTCTAGATATTGAAGGCAAGACAAAGGACACGATCAAAGCTCGTCTTGATTTGGAACGAATGGGAATACGACGGGGTTTATGGATGAATAAGGACAATGATAAAGCCAGAAGGGATCTTGTATTTTTTTCAATGAAACCGAATGACAGGAAATAATTTTTAAAGTTTGTAAAGTTTCTCGATGGGTATGCTTTAAATATCACGTGTTGCGTGAACGTTGACGGGGGTAAATTAGCTGGCTTAAAGAGTCATGACTGCCATGTGGTTTTGCAACGCCTACTTCTTGTGGGTATTCGACATCTCTTGCCACCCGATGTAGTGAAACCAATCATGTTGTTGTCTAGTTTTTTTTCGCAATTGACGTCAAGAACGTTACGAAGAACGGACATTAATCAGTTGCGCCATGACATTGTGCAAGTTTTATGCAAGTTTGAGATGATATTTCCTCCAGCCTTCTTCACAAGTATGATACACGTGATGGTTCACTTACCAGATGAGGCATTGCTTACTGGACCAGTCAACTTTCGATTGATGTATCCAATAGAAAGGTATATATTCCTCATCTTTTTTATTAATCGATATTAAATATATTACGATTAGTAATATGTGTATCGTATCATTTTCTTTTGGTGGGCTTCTCGGAGACTTGAAGAAAAGTGCATGAAACAAAGCGAAGCTCTAGGATCCATTATACAAGCTTGGGTGTCATATGCGGCACTTACATCCTGTGGAATGTATTTAAAAGATGTTGTGACAACTTTCAATAGTCCTCCTGGCAATAATGACGAGGGTGTGAGAAAGGAGAAACTTTCAGTTTTTGCCCATGTCGCTCGACCATTTGGAGATCCTATTTGTGGCGAGTTGTTTTCCAAGAAGGACATGGATGTAGCACATTGGTTCGTACTCAACAATTGTGACGAGACACTGTCACACCTAGGTGAGCATGAAAATATGATGAAGCAGGCACATCCTTCACATTTGTATGCCAAGAAACACTGTGAATTGTTTCCGCAGTGGTTTCTCGAATATGTAGGTTTGAAGTGTTTTGTATTGGACATATATATTGTACCAATTAAGTTGCTTGAACTTACAAATTTAAATGTTTGTCTAATATTAGGTGAATCAACTGAAAGCTTCGAATTCCCCTACGTACAGTGAAGAGTTATATAACTTAGCGTTCGAATCAATTCGCGTTGAATTGTACTTGGGTTGCCATGTCAACGGCGTCAAGTTCTTAGCGGGTGCACGAGATGACAAGTTGTGTAAATAAAACAACGGTGTTCATGTCCCCGGAGGAGGAGAAAGTATAGACATTGAATTCTATGGCAAACTAACAAGTGTCGTGCAATTGCTTTATAAAGACCGGTGCCAAGTGATCCTATTTAAGTGTCGATGGTTGGATACACACCCAGATAGGCATGGAAGTGTGAAAAAAGATCATGGATTACTATTAGTGAACACTACCAAAACTTGGTACGATGACGACCCTTCCATATTAGCAACCATGGCAAAACAAATTGTGTATCTAGATGACCCTAAATCCGGGAGGGGTTGGAAAGTTGTTCAGAAGATGGATCATAGGAACGTGTATGCTATACCATAAATTTTCATCGCCCACGTGTCTGAAAATTCAATTAAAGTGGTTTTTTTTCGCAGAAATTTTCTGACAATTGGGCGACGAATCAATATGTTTCGTCGCTCAAAGTATATTTGCGGGACGAAATATATTGGTTCGTCACGCAATTGTCTGAAAATTCAAATAAAGCGTTTTTTTTTTCCAGAAATTTTAAAAATCTTGCACGATGATTGTTTAGCCTTGCTAGATGAAAACTCTATCGCGTAATATCCTATATTATTAACCCCGTGTGTTTCGTTCCCCCTTACTTCCCTCGTCTCCCTTTTTTCCCCGCGCGATACCCTCTCTTTCCTTCCTCTCTATCTTTGTCTGTTTCTTTTTCACTCACCTCGTCTCTCAGTCCATCGCCTCTTTTTCTATAACAGGTAATTTCCTTTTCAGTTTTTAGTTTCAATTTTGTTTATTGATTGGGGGTTAGAATTAGGGTTTTTATTTTTTTTTTTCAAATTGGGGGCGGTGGGGGTTAGATTTAGGGTTCGTAAATTGGAGGTTACATTTAGGTTCTTAAATTAGAGTTTTTACGATTCTTAATTGGGGTTAGATTTAGGTCTTAACTTAAGGGAACAATTTTGGGCAGTGAGGTTAGATTAGGTTTTCTGAAATTGGGGGTTAGATTTAGGGTGCTTCACTGGGGGCTAGATTAAGGTTCTTAAATTAGGGGTTTTTTAATTTCAAGTACAGGGTTCGAGTTAGGGGTTTTCTAATTTAAGTACAGGGTTCTTAAAGTAAGGATTTGCATTGTTGACTGCCACGATTTGTTGATATATAATGGGGTATTACCCTTTGTTGTTGCCTTATTAATATGATAGACTCCATTGTGTTGCTTGTTGAATTCGGCCTCCCAATTTTGAAGTTACATTTACGTTTTGATTTTAATCTTTCTTTTTTGCACAATAATTTGAATTCCTCCATTATAGTTTAGATTATATATATATATATATATATTAGATTTTCATGAGAGGTATTAGCAAACTTCTTTTGCTGCAAATCGCAGAGCACATGAACTTTGTTATGATGGGAATGTTTCAATTATTTTCATATTTCTACGTCTCTAAAATCATTGAATCTGCCCATATGCATTCAGAAAATGCTTTTGACTAGCCAATGGACTGAAATTCCTATATGATTATTTCAGTTAACAAGTTCATTTGAAATCAAATCAACAATTAGCAATCCTTTTGTAGCCATTGAAGTTGTAAGCAAGTGAAAACAGAATCAAAATCTGTGTACTAAACAAATTGATTGCCAATTTTGTAGATGTCTCACCTGATTAGAACCCGGAGGCCGATGACTTCTACACCTAGTCCGACGACTATACCTACTACTGCCACCACTGCTCTGACAGAGATGGACCATAGGCCGGTCAATCCGATTCACTCAGATGGTCCTCCAGTCCCACAGGCGTAGGCATCGTCGACTTTTTTGGTGGCGTTACCTATTAACCCCAGACGAACTTATCGACGCCCTCGTATTGTGGACCAAATGTCGCCATCGGGATCCACAACTGATGCCTCCGGTACACAGCCAAGTATACAATCCTAATTCACTCCTTCATTCCCTTGTTTACTAAGGTTTAGGGTTTAGGGTACACAACCAGGTATTCAATTTGTTAAGTCATGTAAGGATTAAAAAGTTTTCATCGTTCCGAACCTTTTATTAAATTGTTGTGATCATTGTGTTGGATATGTATATTGTTTATATTATTTTCAGGGTTTTGGGAAATGTTTTAATTATAGGGGAGGTTATGGCGAAATTTTAGTAGGATTTGTTATTAGTTATGGGTTAATGATTTTTTTTTCATCTCTTTGCAGCGAAGAAAAACACCCGGAGACCTTGTCGGCAATTGAAGAGGGGGAAGGTCACCTGGGTGACCAACGGTTGTATCCTAATTGGATACGATGAGCGATATCGGGCAGCACCAACGGCGGAGCAACATAGTGCATTAGCCCACGACATTGGGCATGTCGTGCGGACCTTTAGCCCTATGATGTGGAAGTCTTGGAAGGCAATGTCGGAGGAGACGAAGATTACGATGCGCAATCAATTATCCGTACGTAGCATCGCCTTTTTAATGCTTTTCATGTAAAATTTATATATTTATATGTATTACTGTCTTTTATTACTAATGCTTTCAAAATATTTGTTATATTGCAGACAAACTACAATTTGGAGCACATGGACGAGGACAAGTTCACGTATGTCAATCGGCTCTTCTCCGAATGCTACAAGCAGTGGAAGAGTGACCTGCACCAATGCTTCCAGGAGTTTGATGATCCGCATGTCACTCTTGAGGAGGGATGTCCGAAGGAGTTGGAGGACCGACAAGATAGTTGGGTTTGGCTTTACGGTCATTTTAGTGACGCAACATATGTGGTGCGTTTTTAATGACGACTTCTTTCATTTTACTTCTTTTATTTTTATTTTTATTAATTTTTTTTAATTTTCTTTAACTATTACAACTAATACGTTTATTTTTTGTATAACAGAAGAAGGCGAAGGCGAACAAGATCAATCGAGAGAAGAAGACTCTTCTCCACCATTCGGGTTTGAGGCCTTTCTCCTATAGGATGGAGGCGCGACGGAAGGTATATATTACAACTTTCATTTCCAATTTAAAAATGTCGCTAATAATTTTTTTTTTCGTACTAACATTTTCCTTATCTTCTTTTTATTTCAGGAGGGTTCAAAATTTTCGGAGATCGACGTCTTTGCTGACGTTTATGTTCGGCCTGGGAATGAGTTGACCCAGTCCCTTCATGTAAGTAATTTCTTATGCATTAAACATTTATACTAATTCTTTCAAATTGTTTTCTATTAATAATCCATGTTTTTTTTCACAGGCAACTATGGTGGAGAAGCGACAGGTGGTGCTTCAGAAGTTCGCCTCCCACCTTCCTCTGGACACGCCGATCAAGTCTGTGGATCCCCCTGAGGATGTAGGGTTTCACATCGTCACTGAGATGTTGGACCAGACTTTCGATCGGAGGCCAGGGACATATTGTCGGGGGATGGGAAATGCTAGGCGTCGAGAGACTGGAGCCTCGTCATTCGCGCAGTCAAAGACCAAGGTTACGGCTTTGACGTAGGAAGTCGCTGGGGAGTGAGCTGGCATCGTACAAGTCTCAAATGTCAATGCTTGTACAAGCCCTCAGTTCCTCTGGAATACATCTCCCCGATTTTTCTACACCATCGCCCTCACGGCCCTTCCACACCAAGCAAGCACAGCAATCAGGCCCGTCAACCTCCGACCCCGTCCCCAACCAACAACAAGATAACCAAGCACCTCCGAATGACACGCCTATAGATTTTGCCTCTTTATTTTCATAGTTTTGTTCCCTTTTTTTTTTAACTTTACATTTGTACGTACATTTTATGAAATTTGTTTTTTTTTTCCTTTTATTCTATTTTTTTATTAAAAATTACACGTGCGCGACGACGAAATGTCGTCGCACAAAATTAAGCGCGTCTTACTCTTCCTAGCGCATTACTACGTGACTACTATAGATTTCGTCGCGCAACAAGTTTTGAGGCAAATTACCCACAAACGCACTTGTACTCGTTTATATCGTACGACGAAAACCTTTGTCCGTATAACTTTTGCGCGACGACTAGTAAAGCGTCGCGCAGTTGTCAAGACGCGCGACAAATTTGAAGATGTTCGTCGCGCAATGTCTTTTTTCACGAGCTTTGCGCGACAAAATATGCATGGCGATTTTCTGGTCGCCATAGTTTATGTACGACCAAATAATTATTTGCGCAACAAAATGTCCGTAGTCGGGCAAACTGTTAAATTTAGTAGTGTTAAGACAAACAATCCTTAGGGTTAGGCCGCCACTAGCCGACGACACATTGTTTACAGGAAAGAATGCCCACCGAACGGGATCGTAACGTTTCAACGGTCTTCTGCGACAGAGAGGGACTCAATCACTCACCATATCGGACTGCAGCGTGGCATGTGACAAAAAGTCATATAAATAACACCAATATATAGACAGCCCCACATCATCCACATTGGTCGCACCTCACTCCTCGTTTTCTACGCCCCACGTTTATCTCGAATCCCAATATCCCCAACCCGGCTCAACTCTTCACTGTCACTGTTTGCATACATTCTATGTAAGTCCCCAACTTTCTGGCCATCTCTCGAATGGTAAGGCTTGTTCTTGCTTTGGAAGCTTAACTAGTGCCTTTAAACCTTCTATGTAATCGAGTTTACAAAGAAACAACAGCCAAAGTCCAATTGGGTCATTGCGTAGGCACCTCTCATTAATTTCGTAAAGGCTTTTAATTTCTTTCTTAATTATATTTAAAGTATTAGTGTATTTATCAAGATGGTGGGAGGATTGGATTAGAGGATGTTCTAGAGGAGGTAGATGCAGATTTGGGGTTGTTTTTGCTTGCTGTTTGTGTTTTGTTCTGTTCTTCAGTTATTTAAGAGGGTTTTGCAGATATTTCTAGGGTTTTTGGGGATGGAGTGTGCTTCATGTAACAAGTTTTTGAATCAGGGAAGTGATTTTGGATGCGGGTTTTTCATGTTTGGCCGTTTCTTGCCAGTTTTCAACTTGTTGGGGTTGTTTTTGGTGTTTATTTTGGGGCTAAAGGTTTTGCAAGTTGGGGTTCATTCGGGGTTTTTAATGGAATTTTTATGTGATTTTAGAGGTAAATCAAGAGATTTCAGAAATCGGGTTTGTTCGAGGTGTGGTTCTGGTGATGATGTCTGTTCTCCAAAGGTGAAATCATTGGAAACTTCACCAAATGCAGATTGCTTGTTGTTAAGCAAAAATGTCAATGCAGAAGAGAGAGATCATGTCGATATTAACGACGGTCATGGTGATAGCGATGGTGATGATGAAAGTGTTGGTTACGGCGACGATGGGGAATTTGATGTGTTTGCATTGAGAAAAATGGTGAAGGTTGAGCGGCGAAGGAGGAATGAGGCTCGCGTAGAGCTCGAGAAGGAAAGGATGGCTGCTGCATCTGCAGCCGAGGAAGCTATGGCCATGATCCTGCGTCTTCAAAACGAGAAAAGCTGTACTGAAATCCAAGCCAAGCAGTACCGTCAAATGGCGGAGCAGAAGCAGCAGTATGATGAAGTGATGTTCCGATCGATGCAGTGGATTATAATGAAACACGAATCGGAGAGGAGTCTACTGGAGGAGCAACTGAGGCTGTACAGGCAAAAGTTGCAGCAATGTCTTAAGGGTGATGAAACGGCGGCACAATCCCAAGAAGCTGATCCGAGTTCCAATCTAATCGAGAATTGCATGGATGATGGGCTTGACGTAGATCCGTGGGAGCCGGTGCGACCGCACTTATGAACCACATTTTGGATCACTGCATCAATAACCTTATATGTGGAAAATGCCGTAGATGGCCGAGATGATGTGCTTCATGCGAATCAGTGAATATAAATAGATAAATATTGTTTATGAAGTAGATCGTAAATGAGGTACAAATAATTCTGCTCTTTTCTGAAACGCATATTGAGTAATTTCATTTACAAAACATATTTTTCTTTGTCTTTCTGTTGAATAAAATAGGGGGCATTTGTATATATGAACACAAACGTGACCTTCTCTTTTATCCATGTAATCTTGTAAATTAAGTAAATAAGGTGCTACGTGCACTCTTTGTCATGATTATTTGGTAATTGGTGTTTAGATGATTTTGTTTAAAAACTCTAATGTTGTCATGTTCTGTTATTGACGTGCAATGAAAAAAGAAGAAGAGAATGTCGAGTGAATTTAATCATTCCTCTATGATATACCTTTGTAGGTTGAAAATGGTCCAAAAGTCTTGTGGATTAGTAGGGGACCACAGACAATGTCCTATATGTTACACATGCTTTATTAATTTATTTTTTTGGTTTGAATATATATTAATTAGTGGATTGGTACGAAATGTACTTTCTGGTTAGAGAGGTTAATTGTCAATGTAAAACCAGTAGAAACAATTAATGGGAATTTACATTCAGTGGTATAATATAATTGGTTGAACTTTTTTTATTCCTCAAGTTTTTATTCAATTGTATTATTATATTTAATGTACCAGATTGTATTTTCGGCACACTCTACAATTCCACATAGAAACCCTCTATGTTACATATTCCCTCGAACACCTATGTCTATACTTTGAATTTCCAGTTACAATTGTGCTTTAGTTGAATAATGGACTCTAGAGTAAGTGCTGGAAAATTGATTCGACTTGTTTTCAGTTTGGGTTTAGCGTGTTTGTATTTTTGTATTTCCATGAAATAATTGAAAAGTAGTGAAATTCTAGGTAATGTAAGTTATGTTTTAGTCACTTATTCGAGGCTCCATATTTTAAATAGCCTCAAAATTAAACAACCACCACGGGGTGATCCAGTGGTTGAGAACGAATTATATACCCATATTCTACACAGTACGTCCTGGGTTCAATTCCTAGTACTGGTGAATTACACGGTGATGGCTAGAGGCTGAAATATTCACCACGGTGATGGCTAGAGGCTGAAATGTCTCTATGAGAATTCCCGCCCTTGGAAGGGTGGACTGTCATGGCGAAACTACTAGCTGGTCACTTTTTTATGTTCTGAGTGCTTAGAGAGGCTAGCCAGCAACCATAATAACTACAAACACAAGCTCCTAGTCCACTATAGCATAGTAAATGACCATTACTAAATGACAACACAATTCCTAATTAAAACACCGCTTGCAAGAAATCAAGTTAATAGGAAGTATTAAATCGAATTTGAACTAGCCACCAAACTACGTTAATGGCACTGCATCATCCTCCCCTACCGGGTGAGAACTCGCCCACGAGTTTGAACCCAACTCTCCATGATATTTTGACAAGTCTCGAACATAAATTTGTGACAACTCTCCTATAAGCATTGTCACAAATTTTCTTCAAGATCTTGCATTGACCAATCCTCTTTTCTTTGAGCTTATTATAGTAGCCACTAGGAAAACACTCTTTCTTCAAATATACCCACACTAGATCACCTTCATCAGATTTCTTCATGCGGCGATGTTTATCGGCAACTTCTTTGTACTTGATATTGTTGTCTTCAAGCTTCTTCCGCACTTCTTCATGTATTATAACCATGGATACAGCAAAATCTTTAGCTTTTTCGGTTTTGGTAATAAAGAGTTGGAATGGGAGAAAAGTCAAGATAATGTGTTGGAGTCCTCCCATAAACAATCTCAAAAGGACTCTTTCCGGTAGAACGGTTTGCAACGTAATTATAAAAAAAGTCAGCTTGAGAAAGAGTCATGTCCCACTGCTTTGGTTTCTTGGTTGCCAGTGCTCTGAGCAGATTGCCTAATGTTCTGTTAACCACTTCGGTCTGGCCAGCTGTTTGAGAGTGATAAGCACGACTATACAACAAATTAGTGCCAAACCTACCCAACAAGTGTTTCAAAAAATGACTAAGGAACTTGGTATACCTATCTGAAACAATAGATTTTGGAATACCGTGATGTTTAACCACTCCCTTGAAATATAGATCAGCAACATAGGAGGCATCCATAGTCTTCTTACACGGAATAAAATGAGCCATCTTGGAGAAGCGATCAACAACAACAAAGATGGAGTCATTTCCCCTTTGAGTCCTTGGCAAATCAACCACAAAATCTATGCTAACGTCCTTCCATGGAGCATTGCGAGGTGGTAAGGGGGTGTAAGCACCAGTATTCTGTGATTGGCTTTGCATGGTTGACAAATTCTGCACCTTTTCACATAGTTAGTCACATCCCTATAGATTGTAGGCCAATAATACTTATCTTTTACAAGACTGATTGTCTTGTCTCTCCCAAAATGCCCACCTAAACCTCTCGGATGCAGCTCCTTGATTATATATTCCCGAAGTGAGCATTTAGGAATCCACATACACGCTCTCTTAAAATGAAAACCATCTTGGACAAGGTAATCCTTATGATGTCCTTCCTTGCAAAACTCCCAAACCTCCCCAAAATCAGTATCACCAGCATACATTTCTTTAATGTTATCAAAGCCTTCCAGCTGAACACAGAAGGTATTGAGAAGTGACATCCGTCTGCTAAGAGCATCTACAACCTGGTTGTATCTCCCACTCTTATGCCTTATTACAAAAGTACACTCTTGTAGAAATGCAACCCAATTGACATGTTTTCTATTCAAGTTTCCTTGGTTGTTAATGTGTTTGAGAGCCTCGTGATCATAATTCAAGCTAAACTCCATTTGAATTGGATAAGGCCGCCAATGACGAAGTGACTGAACAATGGAATAGAATTCCAGATCATAAGTGGAATAATTCTTCTTTGCTTCATTTAATTGTTGGCTAAAGAAAGCTACTGGATGACCTTCTTGGCTGAGTACACCGCCTATTCCCACATGAGATGCATCACAATCAACTTTAAACACTTTCTCGAAGTCGGGCAAAGATAATATAGGAGTGTTGGACAATTTTTCTTTCACAAGCTGAAAACTCTTCGCAACTTCCTTACTCCACTTGAATTCCCCCTTTTTCGTACAATTTGTCAAACGGGTCAAAATAGAGCTAAAATTTCTGATGAATCGACGATAAAATGAAGGCAGCCCATGAAAGCTCTTTACATCCTGCAAGCTGTTTGGTGTGGGCCAATCTTTGATAGCTATAATTTTCTCTTCATCCATTTTTAGACTTGTAGAAGTTAGGACAAAGCCTAGGAAAACTAGGCTTTCGGTCATGAAAGAACATTTCTTGAGGTTCACATAAAGCTTCTCCTTTCTCAGAACAGTTAACACAACCTTCAAATGTTCCATATGGTTTCTTTCATCAATGCTATAAATGAGTATATCGTTAAAGTAGACAATGACAAATTTACCAATGAAAGAGCACAGTGCATGATTCATTACCCTCATAAAGGTGCTCGGGGCATTGGAGAGCCCAAATGGCATAACAAGCCACTCGAAGAGGCCCTCACGAGTCTTGAAGGCAGTCTTCCATTCATCACCAGGTTTAATTTAGATTTGGTGGTACCCACTTCGAAGATCAATCTTGGAGAATACTTTGGCACCAGGGCCGGCCCAGGCCCAGTGCAACCAGGGCCATTGTCCAGGGCCCAAAATTTAAAAGGACACCAAAAAAAAAAGTCCAAATAATTAGGTATAAAAAAAAAATTTGTCTAGAGCCCAAAATAAGGAATGGAGGGCAAGAGGCCTAAATTTGACAATAAAGGAAAGGACCCAAGTTTCAAGATTTAAAATATATATATATATATATAATTGAACCGGCCAGATTTTAGACTTTAAAAAAAAAAAAAAACAATAATGTAAAGCCTAAAGGGACCTCCCCGGTCCCCCCCCCACTCCCATCTAACCTAATTCTCCTTTTCCCAATTAATTCCCCACCCACCCGCCCCTTTGTTTCCCCTGTTTGTTATTTTTCCATCTGCACTGCTATTGCAGCTTCCAGGCCAGCCTTCCAACCCCGACAACACACAGAGTCTTTGTCTTTCTCAGCCACAATCCCTGCTGCCGGTTGCCATTGTGCATTCACAAACCCGAGTAACTTTTGAGGTAATTTGATAAACTAATTTTTAAAATTTGAATTATTAATTCATAATTTAAATTAAATTTTGCAAGTGACATAGAATTATATGACAATTGATGTATAGAATTGTTGTTGATAGATTGAATTCTTGATTAATTAATTGATGTATAGATGTTAGTGTTTTTATAATATATAATATGTGTTAGACTTGGAATGATAATTTTAATAGGAAATTTTTGTTATATCATGTGTAGGTAATTTTTGCAAACAAATTATCAAGCCATGTCTTTTAGGAAACAACTCTCTGGTAATATGAAAAGGAAAAAAAAGGCAAAGGATAACGAAATTGCCGAAAGTTTAAGATGATCTCTTAATAAATTTTTTTCTACAAAGAATGAGTTGGTTGAAATTTTGAGAGAAAATGATGTTGGTGAAGAGTCACAAAATGTTGTTGGGGAGTCTCATGATCATGAAATTGGTGATTATGTGGAGGAAGATGTTAATGACCAAGAAAATAGTGGTGATTTAGAGGAAAATGTTGGTGATGAGTCTCAAGATCATGAAAATGGTGGTGATATGGATTTAAATGTTGATGATGATCATATTGGTGTAGAGGAAAATATTGAATCTCCTGAACCTATTTTCCATTTAAACATTTATGATCCAAAAGTTTGGGATAGCCTTAATGCAGAAATGAAAGACTTACTTATAGAAAAGGGACCAAGTTATGATAATGGATCTAACATGAGAGGGGACCAGGTTATGATAATGGATCTAACATATGAGGGGACAAGGTTATGATAATGGATCTAACATGAGAGGGAAACACCAAGGTGTCCAGAAAAGATTGCTAGACATAAATCCCAGAGCTTTTTACATGCCATGTGGTTCTCATTGTCTTAATTTAATAGTTTGTGATATGGCAAGTTCATGTCTTAAAGCAAAATCTTTTTTTGGAGCGTGTCAATGCATATATACAGTGTTTTCCAACTCTACAAAGCGTTGGAATATTTTGCTTGAACATATTGATGGTTTAACTTTGAAGTCATTGTCAACTACTCGATGGGAAAGTCACATTGAAAGTGTTAAAGCGATTAAGTCCCAAGTCGCCCAGGTTAGAAATGCTTTGTTTCAATTGGTGGAAATTACTGAAAATCCCCAATTGAG